CCAGTTCCCCCCCCCCCCTCACATGGGGGGTGGGGTCCGTGCACAATAAATGCGTGGGACTCACCCCCCATGTGAGGGGCATGTAAACGCCAGGTTACATGTAGCAAATCCTGCAAAATAATTAAAATTTTCTATATAAGTCAAATTAACAAATATAACGAGGTTTGATTTCTCGAACTCACTTAAAATGAAATGAAAATTTAACATCAATATGAAATTGCATTAATAGTGACCACCGGTATATTTAATACAAGATCGGATTGTTTCATACATTTGTAGTTTGGCGGTCACACCCGATCTGGATAACAGACTGTTAAGAAGTTCTTCCCTTGTTTCTGCTCCCATTCTCTTGATGACCCTACTGCTACATCAGTGAAGGTTGGTTAGCACCTCTTCTTTCGGCATAACGGGAGAATCTTCTTTGAAGAGAAAAATGTAGCATTAAATTGTCTCGTGAAACCTTTTGTACCTAGAAAAGGGAAAACGTGTTCTGAAGTGACCTAAAGTGTGGACCTGAATTTGCTTGTTATGTGACTCACATGACCATTCTTGGAGCCTTGTTGGATTAGGCATAACAATATCACCATCAAAATGTGAATTATTTTATCTCATGACTAATGTATATTAGAAAGGACCCAGCCGCACCTTTAGCATCTCAAATTATCAAATTATTTACAATTCAGAATAATATCTGTGTCCATTAATTATAAATATATAAACAGGTCATGTGCAATACCCCAAAAAGGATTTTTCAATTAGTGTCTTTTTTTTTTAATCGTATATGTAATTGATGACAAGTAGTGATGTAAATACAAATATCCTATGTGGGATAAGGCTATGTTAGGTTACGTCGTTGAGCATTGTGGGGGGAAAATAATTTTGAATTAATGTAACCATCCATATAATAATTAATAACTGCAATGACACGAAGAATACCAATTTTTGTCCCACAAGACTTAAAAAGGATTGAAATGAAAAACATCTTTGGACGTACACCACCATCTTGCTTAACATTGCTTAAACTGCCTAGAATGCACTACAAGTCTACAAGATACACAATCATCCTCCTACGAATCTCCAACTGTTTTTTAAAAACTCTAGATCATTCGTTCAACTCTACTTCATTCTCAAATAACAATAATAACAACCCGTTTGACATGACTTTCAAAAAGTCAAAAGGAACTTTTCAGATTTAAAAGCTGCTTTTTGATCAATTTGACTAATTTTATGAAAGCGTTTTTGATAGTTAAAAGAGATTGTAGAAGAAGTTGATCCAATATAACTTCCTCTAAAAAGGGTTCAGGAATAAGAAGTTATTTTGAAATTAGTTTCCTAACAAAAATTAAGGTAGCTTTTTTCAAAAGTTCTTCCACGGGAAACAAAAGCCATGTTAAACGGTCCCTATATATACACACACACACACACACACTCCCAACACTAGCACAATTTCATTATTTTATATGCTTTTTCTCTTTGATCCAGTTCAATCCCAGTAGAGAAAGGTGCTTGCTCATATCCATGCCACCAATTCAAAAAACAATAAAATCAAACTCCAACAACCAATCTCTCCATTAACACAACTCTCTACTTAGAAATTCTCTTCAACTAACAAAATACACACAATTTAGTCCTCAACAGCAGTCTGGAAACTCGCTCGCAAAATAAAAAACATTCCACGGTAAAAATGGCCAACTGGAGTTTCCAAACAAATTATACCTACATGGAATAGCCCTTCCATAGAGGGATAAATGGACGTTTACAGCTAATAGTTCATGCTACTCCACAGGACCAGCAGTAAATAAAGGTCATTCTTAACCATACTACATTCTTAAGATAAGTAAAGGTGAGCAGAGTGCTTATTTCTTGGTCAGAGGGATGCACAGGAGCTGAAACTGTGGTTTCTTCAAAATAGAGAATGGTGCCTGCACAGGGAGAAACAAATAGTTTTAACGGCACAAACTGAACGAAAAATGCTGCAATTTGCAAGGTACAGTAACTGATTAATTTCATATTTATAATGAAGAAATGTCAAAAATTAGCATTTATACCACAGATCGCAATGACACTTACTTTTTTATTGCATTCAGTAACATGTCATCATAAAGTGTTCCCAGAGCAAATTCTATTAAAACACATGAAAACGGAGAAGGCAAAAATCCATAACCGTATGCCCTAAGGAGTGTTTTTAATGGTGAGAGCTGGGGCAAGGCGTTTTGCATTTGAACGAGGAAAGCTTTTAAGGCGGGGGAATGTGTATTTTGTGGATTAATTTTATCCTTAAAATTGACAGTGGCCTAGTGGAAACGGATTTGGTAAAGGAGATGATCCGGTTTTTGCAGAAGATGATGAAGTGGCTTTCTATTTCATTCTGTGTTAATTATATTACCTTTAATAAGTTGTTAATTTTAATTAAAATAAGGAATAATGTTGAGACATTTTTGTCCCACACATAAATTGGCATGTGATTGCCATATCATTCTCTAATGCCAAAATTGACCGTTTCTATCTAAATGGACCAAATTATTCTCACGGCTAAAGGTCGGGGACTAATTATGATATATTCTCAATTCGGACTTACAAGATTGGGTGAAACATTAACTGACCTCCCATAGGGAAGAACCTTTTTAATAATCCACGCCAATGTTAATGCCAATGCCAATACAAAGCCAAGAGGAAGCATCCCCAAAAAAAGCTTAGAAATTACATGACATAAAAATCAGTTTGAGATGACCTTGAAACCAATAAGAAGCGACGCACCAATCACATTTTTGTGGACGTCATGGACTTGTTTTTTCTTTCTGCAGGCTTCAGAATCTGAAAAGAGCACATTAAGTTTTCATCAACGCTCATGATTGCACCAGCATTGTCGAATTCACCACAGTAGTTGGGGGCTGAAAACACGGTGACCAGCTGCCTGTCAGCAAAGAATTCATAACCATCCTCCACAACCTGAAACACAACAAGTAATCAGGCAAACAGCATGAACTATAACAAGGACGGAATAGAAGAATCTTTACCTGGTGAGCACGACAGACAAGGTCCAAATCGTGCTTTGCCAAGAATTCTGAGACTTTATCAGGGCCAAAGGTAAATGAAACTCCTCTATCATTCATTCCCCATCCTTTAACATCCTTACCAGGGTCCGACCAGAGTAAATCACAAAGCAAACCCGTATCCGGGATAGCAGTTGGGCGGGGTAAGGTTCTAATTTGGTCGAGGTTTGTGAGGTCTGGTGATAGTCCTCCATGCATGCACAATATCTTGTCATCTATAAGTGCCGCAACAGGAAGGCAGTTAAAGCAATCAGTGAAGGCTTTCCACAATTTCACATTGAACCGGCGTTTACATTCGTCATAAAATCCATAAATCCTATTTATAGAAGCACATTCATGGTTTCCTCTAAGAAGGAAAAAGTTTTCTGGATATTTGATTTTATATGCAAGTAACAAGCATATTGTTTCTAAATTCTGCTTTCCTCGATCTACATAGTCGCCTAAAAATAGGTAATTGGACCTAGGAGGAAAACCACCATATTCAAAAAGCCTCAACAGATCGCTATATTGACCATGAATGTCACCTGAAACAACCAAGTAAAAAAAGGACGTGGTTAGTTTATAGCTTAAAAGATCATAGAACTGTAGAGGTAATGTTTTATCAGTTCAAAGGTTCAGCATGAGCCAGCCATTGCTTTCAAGTTAAAAAGTAATAACCAATAAAGCAAAAAGTTATACAACTTTTCAAGACGCAGAAGAAACTCGGCTGCAAATGCAAAAGAAAGGCAGAGCAATGGTTTCCCCATGTTATTAACATGGGTATTCAGGCCATGCATACGGAGACAAGCATTATCATGTATAACTACAGATAAAAGAAACAAAACTTACATATGGTTTCATTGAGGTAGAAAAGCAATATGATATGTTTTTTAGGGAAGTGCAGGTAGGTCAAGAAAAAAAATCTATTAAATGTATCAATAGTCTAAGAATTTGTACAAGGGAGCAATCACAAGTGTGAAATCTAGCAGGAAGGACTACTAAGGAATTTCCTAGTAAAATAATATTACATTAAGTTTCCGCTTTAGATCCTTATGGAAAGACTTCACTCACGGACGACAAATATCCAAGATGAAGTCCTTGGTTGTATGCTATTCATTGATAACATAGTTTCAGCTGATTATATGACTTTAGGGGAATAAATCATAAGTTAAAAAGTTGTAGGCATACTTTGAAATCTAAATATTTTAGGTCAAATAGATAAAAATAAATAAATAGAATGTCCCTTTAGTCATAGAATGACACAGAAATCAAAATAAAGGATCATGATCCCATTGGAGCATATTAGAAGAAATGGAGAATTGTTATAGGGATTCTATGTGATAAAAAGATATATTTGAAGTTAAGCCTGTGTTTGGCCCCTATTTTTTTAATACTCATTTCCAACTACACATTCTACAATAAAGTAATTTTACAAGTAAATAAAAAACTTTCCTTATTTTTTAACCACACAATCTCCAAAATATCATTCACTATTACAAAATACATTTTCCACTAAAATTGGGGCTCAAACAAGGGCTAAAGGAAGTTTTGTTGACCGGTTATTATACAAGTTATGTCTTATCCATAATACACATACAAGAATGAGGGTTGGCACAGATTGAAGATAATTTAAGAAATAATATCTTAGACAGTGGAGCATTTTTTTTGCATAGCTAAAGAAACTCATTCACAAGAGCAATAAAATCAAGAGAAACAATCTAAAGGAGGAGGAGTAAATAGAAATTATCATTAGTAAGGGTGGTTGCAAAGACTAGATTTCTTTGCCATTCTAAAGAGATAAGACTTGAACTGAAAGAAACAACAAAAAGAGAGTCATGTCACCAACCTTAAATTTTTCGAAAATAGGTTTTAATTTGTCATCATTACAATTAACGAAAATATATTTCATTTTAGAAGACAACGGAAAACATCGAGCTATGTCCAAAGAAGCTGTTTACCAAATATTATTAACTGAAGTTACAGTTAGAAAAATATGGTAAGAGTAGAAGTGTTAAATAAAAACACTGCAATTAAGTTTTCAAAAGCAGCTATAGCCAGAATTGCGGGGGCGGGGGCAGGGGCAGGGGCGGGGACAGGGACAGGGGAAGTGGAAGTGGAAGACAAAGAGATAATAGAAAGAGAAGACAGATAAAGAGAGAAGCGAGGAGGGAAGGATTGAGCAGTGTATTTAGTTTAAGTTTAAGTTTTTCATAACGCCTATCTTTTCATTCTCTAAAGTGGCTGTAAAGTGGTGGATTTTAACAGCACGTATGGTGTAACTCACATTTTAATGGCAAGACTACAATAGTTTCTACCGACTCTTACAATCCACCATATTTTTCAGAGTGCTATTTGAACTAACAATATTTTGGTAAAAGATGAATGTATAGAGATAATACCAAATTGACAATTGAGTGCATCTATAGGAAATAAGCATCTAAGTTAATTCTTTCTAGATGATTTAATTTGTAACTTCACTAATGAAATGCCTACTATTTCAATTATGAAAAGGAAGGAATTAAAACAAAGAAAAGATTAGTACAAATATAACTACTGGATCCTAAAACTTGGTAGGACAATAAACATGCATCAAGCAATCGAATATATAATACATTGTAATTTTTAAAGTAATGCATGCCATGAAAAAATTAATCTGTGCAGAGTCGTCAAGAACTTTGTTTTGGCACATAGTTCAAGCTTATAAGGCATCACAACATACGTATTCCTGCACCGAGTATAGGACACACAACAAAAACGAAAGGAAGGAATAACACGTAACAAATAAGAGAGAGGAATAATTCAGCCACATTACGATGTACCAATCGTACACAAAAGTAATTAACTGTCATGCAGAGATTTCTCTTAGCCATTCTTTTTCTGTCCCCTTATTACATTTTTTTTTAGATTATTATTATTATTATTATTTTTTTTGGGTGTGTGTTCGGAAGCTGGAGTGGAAATGAGGTATGGTTTCCAACCACATAGATATTGCCACCACATTTTGGCTTGTCTATGAGGGAGAGAAACATATGAATATTTCAAAATAACTGCAAGAGTCTTGCCAAGCCAAGAACAGAATACAATATTGCAAGGGAAATCTTCAGCTAGGAGATCAACACAGAAAACCAAGGAAACTGCAACTTGTCTATCTGTTGGAGACCCAACACTAACAGTTTTAAGCGTCCATCTGTACAGCTGAGTCAACAGAAAGAGTTATTTGTAAGGCTTGGTGACCGTATGTTGTTATCAATGTAATCCGGTTGATAAAGGGATTAATACTCCTTCCAATCAATGGAAGAAAGATTTTAGATTAAAAATCACAAAACCATTAAGAATTTTTTTTTTTTTTTTGGGAGGGGGCGGGTTCAATTCAAATGTTCACATATACTATCACAAATAAAAGTTTTTGAGTCTCATGGGGATTTTTCCTACAAGTGGGTGTGAGACTTTAAGGAAAGTTGCAAACTTCATATCATCCCCAAAAGGACTGAAAGCAAAAGGCTGGGGGATTCAAATCAAATACGTGCATTTATTGTAATGAAAGACACTGAGTTTCATGAGTTGTTTCAAAATGTGATTTTTATCAAAAGCTTGCTACACATGACTAATTTCAATTTAGGAAGGTAGCGAGCTTGATATCAGTCCCCAAAAGTACTGAAAGGACCAGACAAATTGGAGTCAAATTTATGCAGTGGTATGAGGGATTAAATTGTTAGTTTAACAAAGAGAATCTTGCTAATCGTCTGCACATTATTGGTAAATCTGGCACCTTCATATGCAAGCTGTAATGCCAAAGCCAACAGAACCAAAAAAGAATACATATAAAATTCAAAATTTATTCATATTCCAAGTATATAGCTGAGAAGTCAGAAAGAAAAGGAGGATGCAACTAAAATTTTTTAGATATTCATATATTACGGGTTAATTAAGGATAAAATGATTTAGATGGTCATGACTTGTTTCGTATAGACCTCTATTCTCAAATCTGGGTAGAACAAGTCAAAAGAGGAAGGATGAGACCAAAACTAATATGATCTGCTGTACTTGCTAACCATTCAGCAGCTTAATGACTTGAACTAAGTGCAGAAAAAGGATTCATGCAGCCGATACCAATTTTATCCACAACAGCCTTAAATTTTACATTTTTTGTTTGTAATATGTTCTTGGTTAGTTATCACAAGCCACAAAAGGATCATAAAATCGATTACTAATTAAATAAATAATAGACACTGAAAAACAAATTTGGAGTACTTGATCACACGTGAAAGAATTGAGACTCACCAAAGAAAACCCTAAAATATAAATATCCAGTGAAATTTCACATTCATTCAAGCACCATAAAAATTAATCATTAAACGAAGAGACACACACACACACAAAGATAGACAATCGAAGAATATAAAAATCGAACATATCCACCATAGAAACAAAGCCATTCCATCTAAAAATGATAATAATACCCATGGACAGAAAAAATTAAAAATCATCCAGTAGCACCGGAAACCACTCATAGCCAAGAAATTATTGTGTTAATCACATAAAGCAAATAATTTTATACAGAAAAAAAAACTACATATGATAAGGGAAAAATACCACAAATCTTGATGGGTGCTTCAAGTTCAAGAAGATTGGGATGACTAACAAAAATTTCACGAGAAGCAGCACAAAGCTGTTTGATTTCAGACTCCGATAATTGCACTATTTTCCCTGGCTTTGAGGATCTTACTTCTATCAGCTTCTCAATTATCTTGTCCAGTACTGCAGGGTCCATTAGTCCCCTGCTACACCCCTCGCCTTTCTTTTGGATCGTCAAACTTTGTACAATATATAATAACTGAAAATCCAATTCAACTTTTTTGTGGGTTTTGCTTATTGGGTCAAGTGGAGGGACGAAGAATTGAATGATGTTTGTTTGAGAAAATGAAAGAAAGTTTCCAATAAACGCAGTTGATTATACTCTTAGAATTTTTTACTTTACATTTTTTGTAAGGGCTACTCGAAAAGAATATTTTACTGATGGGTAATTAGCACAAAACATTCCTACCTTTCAATGTTTTTGTGAAAAAACGTCCCTACCTTTCATTTTTTGACGGATTACACCCTTACCTTTACCTTTTTTTTGCGCAAAACATCATTCTGTTAACTCTTCGTTAAAATGCTCCGTTAAATCAAAAAGGTAATTAGCACAAAAGGTCCCTACCTTTCAAAATTATTGTGCAAAACGTTCCTACCTTTTATTTTTGAGCATAATTAGCAGAAAAGGTCCCTACCTTTCAATATTATTGTGCAAAACGTCCCTACCTTTTATTTTTAGCATTTTTACCCCTACATTTCACATTTCATTTCGCAAAAGGTCATTTTCATCCATTTTTTCAATAAAATGACGATTTTACCCTCCTATTGAAATAAAACAAAAAGAAAAGAAAAAAATAATTAATTAATTGCAATCATAATCTAAATCTTTCAAAATATTACAGATAAATCATAAATTCTCCACTACCGCCACTTTCACAACCCCACCAAGCCACCACCTATAGATCCATATAGCACCATTTTTTGACCACAACACCTATCGGACTCCACCACCACCAGCATCGCCTCACTCTCCCCAATATCCTCCTCCATAGTATTGGTCATCAATCTATCTGAAACAACCACATTTACGGTGGTGGAGTCCGGTGGACATGGTGGCCAAAAGGTGGTATTATGTGGATTTATAGTTGACAGCTTGATAGGTTGTGAAAATGGTGGTGGTTGAGAATTTATGATTTTTTTGTAATTTTTTAAAAATTTAAGGACTATGGTTGCAGTTGATAATTCATCTTTTCTTTTTGTTTTATTTGAATAGGAGAGTAAAATCGTCATTTTATTGAAAAAATGGATGAAAATGACCTTTTGCGCAATGAAATGTGAAATGTAGGGATAAAAATGCTAAAAATGAAAGGTAGGGACGTTTTGCACAATAATATTGAAAAGTAGGGACCTTTTCTGCTAATTATGCTAAAAAATAAAAGGTAGGGACGTTTTGCACAATAACTTTAAAAGGTAGGGACCTTTTGTGCTAATTACCTTTTTTATTTAACGGAGCATTTTAACGAAAAGTTAACAGAATGACGTTTTGCGCAAAAAAAGGTAAAGGTAAGGGTGTAATCCGCCAAAAAATGAAAGGTAGGGACGTTTTCCACAAAAACATGGAAAGTTAGGGACTTTTTGTGCTAATTACCCTTATTATAAATATAAAATATACACCAAAAAATAATTAATTGTGCAAGTTGAATTTTTTTTTTTTTTGTGCATGTGTATTTTTTAAACGAGCAAGTAGAGGTTTTCAGAGCTTGTTTGATTCTCATTAATTGGGAAAAAATGAGTTTTGAATAGTAATTTTAGAAGACAGTATAATTAAACAGTAGGAAGAAATTTTGGTATACGTATATAATATTTTATTATATGAATGTGTGATTGAAAATAATTTTGTAATAAATAACAAAATATATTAATGGTTGTCCAACATACACTTAAATCTTTGAAAAAAATATATATATACTAAAAATACATTTTTTAACCTTGACTTTTGGACTTGATCACAAAGGTCGGAAAAGTTATAATGGAGGTTCCTAATTTATGTCTTTTGTGTAAATGGTGCCTCACTTTTTGATTCTTGATTCTCAACCTTTTACATTTTAGCAAACCTAATGCTCTTGATCGAATGCAAGCCGGTTTGGTCTCCATTTTCCGAAAATTATATATTTAAAAAAAAAAAATCATTTTCAATCGTATATTTTTATATAAAATAATATTATTTACAAACTCAAAATTTTTTCTTATTTTTCAGAAAAAGTCACTATTTTAAAGCACATTTTCTCCAAAACAATCATTTGAAAAGAGCACAAAGAGTGGCTAAGTGAAATCAATGCTGCCTCATTACCACTGTGCTAGATCAACATACTTCAACTCACAATTCACCATCTAAGCTCCAATTTGGTTTTTCTAAAAATCAAACTTTTAATAAATTTTGATAAAAATTGATTTAATGTGTAGTTGATGATGAATTTAGGGGAACAAATGAGTACTAAAAAATGAAAGTTAAATAGGGACAAATAAAATCACAAATTACTTTTGCAGCCATTGTCACAAAGAAATATTGTGTCAAGGCAAAATTATTTTGAAGTTAAAAGTTTTGACATTGAAAGGAAATGAAATAAATGTGTGTGTGTGCGCGCGCGTGTAATTCTGTCCCCACCTCGAATCCCAAATCAAGTCAGTAGTGAAATCATTCAACGAAGTTGGAAAAGGACTTCACTAATCATAACAAGATTTTTCGAGCCTTTGTCCAAGGACTCGAAAGATGAGATCAAGTCTTTGTCTAGAGACTGGAAAGATGAGATCGCTAATATGAATGAATGATGAAAACATAACTAAGAGCGAGCCTTGTCTGACTAGTTTATCGAGTTTTAAGTGAAAGTTCTTGTTAACTATTAAAATTGGGCTAGTCATACATGCATGCTAATTATACATTAGTTGGAAAAGAACACTTTTCTAATTGTGACTTTTAGAAAAGAAAAAGTCAAACCCTTGCTAAACCCTGAACCCGAGCTAGTGTCAAAACAAAAGGTCAAAATCACTTTGGGTGGGTAAGGAACATATTCGCGAGATATTGTTTTGAAATGAGCTCTCTCAAGACGCTTTCTTCAATTCCTAATCAACTTTCACCTTTCGCTGCCCATTTCATTCCTTTCACATTTTCCTTATTCAGATTCTCCAAAGCAAGAATCTCTTTCCCTCTCATATTGTAGCTTTATTTGTTCTCACAGGCATGTTAGACCAAGCTTTAAAAGTAGCTTAAAAGCTACTTTTTGATAAGTAGTTTAAGTCCTTCAAATCGCCCATTTTGCCTTATCAAAAACCCAGAAAACGTCCTATAAGCCGGGGCGGAGTTAAGATTGTTGAGTTGTAGGGGAAAATTTTAAAAAAATTTAATTATGAGAGGCAAAATTGAAAATTATAAAGAATTTTTTTGAAAAATCTTATGAAAAATCTTGGATTTCAAATTTAGTTTGGAGGCAACTGCCCCACTATCCCGACTATAAGTCGGCCACACCTGCAAGCTATGCATAAAACAAAAGAATATGAATGTTGTTTGTTCCATTCCCCTAGCTGGAGTGGACTCCATCTCTTCAACCGTGCTTTTATATATAGTGTGTTGTTCAACTTGTTTGACTAAAGATTTTTTGATGTCGCGTTGTAATTTTTCAACTTGATGATCATTTTGATTATACTATCCTTGTGTATAGTTTCTCTTTTTTGACATTTTGGTTAAAGTAATATTATTCATAGTCATTCACTGCAGTAGTCGCCTTACATGACGATTTATAATTTGATATATTAATGTTGTAGTTTTTTATTGTCTTATGCATTAAATCACTAACCGCACATGTATGTCACGTAGGACAACTGCAATAGTGATTGACCGCAAATAATATTATTCTTTTGGTTAACGTTTTAGACGTGCACAAGTGTGAGAAGTATTGTGATGAAAATTAATCTACTTTAAATTCTGGGCATTTACAGTGTTAACTACTTAACCTAAGTGGGAACAACAAGGATAGCATTCTCGCTTAACAAAAAGAGCACAACATGCCAATTGAATGCAATCTAGTCTATGTTGGATTTTGGATTCGATGGCAATTCATAATATACAAGCAATTCCGTAACTACTTGAAGGAGCGGACAAACAAAAATCAAATTTTTAGAAGATTTTGATAAAAATTAATAAAAGCTGTGGATCCCATAAAATATGAGATAGAAATGAGTTTGTGAAAAAAAAATATAAAATGGGGCCAAACATGGGCTAAGACACCTCCAATGGTGCAACACAGTCTTCTATTCAATATCATGTATTGAGATCATTTTCTCAACTGCTTCAATTCCAAATTTAGAATTTTGGATCAAGTATTTCAGTTTCCTACATGTGATCAGTGATGTCTGAAACAGTATCGTTGGGAAAGAAGACAAAAGAAAATATTTCTGTAAATTTTGGGAGGTCTTATAATCTGCTAACATGTTTTAGTAGGAAAATTAGATAGCATAGTATTAATAAATAAAAAGAAGTTGTAGCATAGTATCCAATCCATTTTTGCCTAATAATGTGACAAATCTTATTGTTGGGTTCAGGTCAATCGAGTGGTTCGACTCAAGAATACTCTAAGTTCATATCTCTCCTTTTCGGCTTTGTTTGCGATATGTATGGAGCAAGAACCGGATATGGAAGAATCTGTTCATCATTTCATTAATTAGAACAATGCCTTCGGTTTTTAAGTTGCCAAAATAATCCCCATGTTGGGTTTTTTTACCCAAATTAGATTGGATTTTTTGGGAAAATATCCTTTATTTTACACACTTTTATTGGAAAAACATCACGTCCTTCATTTCACTCGTTTTTTATTGAAAATTGTTATTTCCTTTATTCCATGCATTTTTTATTCTATTTCCATCTTTAAAAATATTGTTAGGGTCTTCATATGTCTCCTATCTATAGTTAACACTTCTTTACAAGCTGATTTATTACTAAAACATAGAATAATTATGTATGTACAGTTATTGTATTTGTTTTTTTTTTCCATATTAATCAATTGAATAAAATGCTTTGTCCCTCTCTCAATTAATTTTTTGCCTTTATTTTTGTTTTATGATCATACACTTCATATCATGTTATATATATATTAATTCGATAAGTTTTATTTCCCAACAAGTAGTATCAGATCAATTGATAGTAATTTCTTCGAGGTTTTCGCTATTGATGACAGTCATAAAGTATAAAATTCTGCTCTTGGATCACAATACATGATTCTCGTTGTGACAAGTGAAGATTTCAAATTGTACTTGCGTAGATAGAATTGAATAATGCCCACAATTTCGACGATGGAAGAGAAACAA